TGGGGCTCCACACCGAGGGAAAATTAGGCATAAATTAATGAAAAACTAAGATAAAAATACATAGTAATTTAAAGTTTGTAATAAGGGTTAAAAAAAAGTTAAATATCATTCAAATTAATTGACAAATATGCAAATATAATAAATAAGAAAATTAAATATAATTGTGTTTAAACATTGTGAAAATTATTGTTCAAAGTTTTTCATATTCTCTACTTGATATATTTTTTTGCGAGTGCAACGAAGTCCATTCCTGCTTCTCGTTCTGGTCACGGCTCTTCCCTTCGAAGCACATGCAATATTTAAATTGCAGTCATGGCCGTAGCTACTCCATATCCATAACCGTATCTCGAGCTGGGTATCTGGTATCTGCCACCCATCCATACTCGTATCGTTTCCTGTCCGTTGACATGGCCAGCGGCCCTGGCATTGATCGGTGCACAGAAGGAGCAGCCGAACCAGGGAGCCGAACTCATTGCGACTATGCAAACTCACAACTGCATAAATTTACCACCAACTTTGCATTTATCATAAGGGAAATGTGCAGGAAAATGTCATCTGCATGCGGTTCTCACAAAACAAGCAGCTATCTGGTGAATTAATATAAGTTATAAATATATATTTTAGGCTTTAAAAAGCTGTATACATCATTAAGTTAAAATAAGTCAAAAGGTTTTGATTCTAGAAAGTCACCTCCAAAGACAAATAGTCAGTTAAACAAACTTACAACTTGAAAAGCAAAAGGGCTAAGGACGTGAAGAAAACATTTTGTTTACAAGTTCTCTCATTGGCATTTGAAAACTAATTCATCGTAAATGAAAAGCCAAACAAATACAAATATTCTGACAGGGCAGGAGTGGGGGTTTTCACTTTGGCAATTTCGTGTGCTTCGAAAATGGCACTTCAACCGAAGGACGTATGACCGACCAGGCACTTCGGTGGCCAAACAATGGATCCTGCTATTGCAGTGGCATAAATTTGGGACTGAACCGAACCGTCGCTTCCATTCGGTTCGATTTCCCCCGGCAGTTGCATGTCACAAACGCTAAAACAACATGCACTTAAAAAAGCCAGGATAGCTCCGCCACCCCCACAAACTCATCTAATGGATGTCTGTGTGTATGTGTGTGTGTGTGTGCGTTGTTGAGAAAATAAACAAAATGCTTGTTGATATTTTGTGGCAGCCAATGAAGCAAACAACTTTCTGTCCATCCGTTTGTCTTGTGTGTCCATAGCATCCGTTGGCCTGCAGCGGAATCGGTAAAATCAACAAGACCCCGAGTCCACAGCAAAATGGTTTGGTTTGGGCCATGTTCAGTTCGGTCGACCCGCTCTAAAAGCTGCTTCCATCTGCCGCATAATTGCAAACAAAAGTGGAAAATATGTGTGCCAATCGGTCGAGATCGAGTTCGAATTCGCATTTCAATCTCAACTGGAATTCGAGCTGAGCAATGAGTTATCACGTTTCACTTGCTGCCTTTTAAGTCTCGTGCCACAAATCGCATCAGGGGAGAGTCGCACTCCTTCAAAGTCACCGAGAGTGTAATCGAAAACACAGCGTCTCAGGTGGTAATTCACTGGAAAAACAAATGGCTTGAAGCAATGTCAAAAATGTTGGAAATAAAATATGTCTTTGGAGAGTCTACAAGTTTGTTATTTGAAACCATTATATCCAAAAGCAACTGTTTATCATTCTGGCAGTTAAAAAACATTTAAATGTTGTAAAAATGTGGAATATTCAGGAATATATTGCCAACAAGTAATTAGACAAAAACACTTAAGTCACCTATATTTAGCTTCAAATTCTAAGATCGTCATTCAATGATGAGTACCAAAATTAGTTTGATCATTCAAATACCTTAAGGACATAAGAGACCGATCTCCTAGGAAAATCAGATACATGTAACCCCCATCAAAGCGTTATATCTAAAGCCCAGCCGGATTGACGTCTTACCCCGTAGCAGCCGATTGCCACCATTGTTGGCGACAGATTTTAGCCGCTTGTTAGTGGCTAACAGTGGCGTTCATAAATACACACACCGCAGCGAGTGAGCTGGGTTAGCATCGAATCCTTGTCACATGCTGGGTTACACCTTGAACCCCGCGTGCGTTGGATATTTTTCTGCGGGATTGCCCGCTTTTCCTGCTTTTGCCTGCTTTTCCTGCTTTTTCCGCTCCACTCCGCGGCTTCTACAACAAAGCAACGTTTACGGCAGCAACCGCAGCGAAGGGGCACAAGGTAACCTGCACACACATCCCGAGTAAACCATATAAATAAACAAAGCTCTGGTCGTCGTCCTGCGTCCTGCGTCCCTACGCACTTTGTCGTGGAGCGAGAAACGAGAGGCAAACTGTCGAAACTGTCAGGATGTCAAATAAGCGACAGTGGGTGGTAGACAGCAGGAAGTACGCTGGTTCCGAGTCCAGAGCCAACCAAAACAGAACAGGACAGGACTAGCGGCAGTATCAGGATCAGGAGAAGGACCACCGCCACCCTAGGCATATTTATTGGAAATCTGAAACAGCTCCAATGTCTACACTGAAAATAATGGGTTACGGGAAATGTCATAACAACATTCACAACTAAAATAAACTCTTCACTTCTTTTAATCAGTTTCCCAAGCTTGAATGTTTATTTTATTGGTGAATATTATTGTATGCTTTTTACAAGAAAATTAAGCCAGGTTCAAGATTTTTCTGAGTGCCATTTTCACCCACGCCAGTGGCAAAGTCTCCCTGACCATGTATCCATGTCCGGCATCGGGCACAAAGAATTTGTTACATGAAATTGTTAACGGGCTGAAGCCGATGCCTCGACTCGACTCTACTCGACTGCGTTTGATGCCTTTTGCTGATATATGGCCAACCTTTGACATCCTTTAAACGAGCAACATGATGCTCTAGATTATGGCCAGGAGATTGGCTCGTGGCTCGACTTTTCCCTGTTGGCTCCTCGGTTTGCCCGGATTGTCTCACTTGGGCGATACGTCAATGTGACAGTTTGATAATTTATTTTGTTCAAATTTTGTTTTTCCTTCGCATGGGGGAAAGCGCTTAAATAAGTTATCAACGAGAAACGAGGGCCATGTAAATGGCAGCACGTAAATGAATGAAATTATTTTGCAACAAATTAAGGCAAATTTATGCGTTGAGACGACAGGACAGGGGATTCGAGATGGGTTGCCGATGGGTTGGCGATGGGACCCGGGAATCCTTGTAACAGGAAACACAATCCACGGGCAAACAAACAAAAGCGAAATCGGAACGCAACGAAACGAAACCAACAAACAAACAAACAATGAAACGAAAGCGGTAGCCTCGAAGAGGGAGAAAAGGGGAAAAGCGAAGAGTTTTCCTTTAGCGGAATCTGAGCAAGGCTTTGTGCAACAAAGTGAAGAACCCGGCTGCCCTCTTTTCCGATTTTTCTCCACGAGCGCGGGCTAACTGGGTCCGCTCTGCACTTGTACATATCGAGATATATATATTTTTTTTATTTCCAAGCCTCACTTGCCGAATCAAATGTCAATAGAGAGTACATTTCATTCAGCCGGGGCGATGCTTTTCCGCCCAACAACACCCAGTTTTCAGTTCCCGCATTGTAGCTGTCACAGTGTTTGGTTGCGGATTTTAAGCTTTTCCCTCTTTGGCAGCACGGTTTTTCCACGCCTGCCGTTTTCCTTTAACGATAGAGAATCCCAACTTCCAAGAAATACATGTAACACCTGAAAAAAAGAGATTTCATTTTACTTTATAATCGAATTATAGCTTTCCTAAGAATAAAATCATCATAGAATGGAATATAATTAACAGCCTTTAGATTGTTCGTAAACATTTTCATATAAGCTTTGTCCCTTTTTAAAAATTGTAACCCTACACTTTATATTCACCTAGTTAAAAAAAAAAAACAAAACTTTATAACTTGTTTAGTTTTGTAGGTTTTTTGTCTCAAAGAGCATTTAAAGTTCAATGTTTTTGTTCAGAGCTCTCTAATCTGCTTTCTGGTTCTGATTCTGGTTTTATTTCCGGCCATCTTCCCGATGCTGTCCGCCCACTTTCCACCCACCAGCTGAGATGCCTTGGATTTGCTTTTTATTTGCACGGAAATGTATAATTTTTCCGAGTCAAATGTAAATACTTTTAGCGTATTTTTGTGGGCTTCATTGGGTGGTTGGCTCGCCTTGAATTCTTCGAAGATGAAGCCGGGGGCGTGGCACATGCAAATGACACGCCTGATGCTGCGTAAATAATTTTAGCGCTCTCTCCTTTGGCATAAAATGCTAAATAAACATTTTATTCTTCGCAGAATTTCCATCCTCAAATGTGGGTCAAAATGGTGTCCGAAGAAGGCACTTTTATCCCGAAACCAGATGCCGAAAATATAGTTTAATTGTATGCGTGTGGGCTGCGGTTCCGTTTGAGTTGGTGCAAATGTCACGTTTCAACAGCTCAATTTTCGGTTTTGGCGATACGCGAAGAAAACTTTTCGATCCAATTAAATTCACCGAAAGCCGAAATTTCGATTTGACAATTTATGCATCCTTGTGAGACGCCGCTGGCATATTTATTCCCATCGATGGCTAGACAATGACGCCTGTGGCCCAATAAATAACGCTCCCTTTTGACACAATCGAAATTGGCTGGCAAACAAATTTTTTTTAACCAGATATGGCCCCTTTTTTGTTGTCAACTCGCAGCAAAGGTCAAACACTTAACCCGCGTTAAGGGGAAAAAATGTGACATCAAATTATGGTATGTAAGCGGATTCCTGCCATTATCAAGAACAATCTAATAGCCATGGGCCCAGACAGAAAACAAATTTTGGTTTCAATAGCGAGAAACCACAGGGCGAAAAAGATAAATTTATATTTAATAATAGGAATACGATTTGTAAAGGTCGTTAACATTGAATATGGTTAATTGCTGTATTGCTATACATTTTCTTTCTATAATTCTTTCTAATCTAGTTTGCTTAGACACCAAAACTTCACGGAAACTGAAAGCCCTCATTCTAAACTCGTACTCGCTCTGATAACTTTACCGACTACCTTAACAAAAATTAGTTAACAATTATATTTTGCACTTTCTTAGATTTACACTCACTATGACGGCTAAGAAGACCACGTTCGATATGATGAACTTGGGGTATCCTATTAACTCGGATCCTTATGAGGTGGAAAGCCAGTCGTCGGTATCGCCAAAGGAGCGAGCCCAAACAGTATTGTCCCATAAGGAACTCAGGTACAAGCTGTACAAGGAGGCCCAGAACATGATGCCGGACTTTCTTCGGGACCCGTCTTCTAGTTCGGATGACTCCGATGATATTGAAATTCCAGAGACACCGTACGAAAGGGCACGTCGCCTAACCTTTGCTCGACGCCGCAGATTGCACTACAATGAGTTTGCCACGGTAGAACTGGCCAGGCGACTGATCCACGATGAGTTCAATACCTCGGACACAAGTCTTCGCAGCGAGTATGACGGCTTGCTCCCGGAAGCCGTAGAGGCGGAGTGTCCACCTTGTGAGGAGCAATCCAAGGAGTCTATTGCGTTTATCCAATATAATCGGCCTACAATCACTTCGCATATGTCAGACGACAGTATGCCGAAGGAGGATCCTGAGCCGGGATTCCATCCCACTCATCACTGCTACAGCAAGCTAATAAGTACCTTCGCAATACCACCAGTCGTGGAGATTTCCCTACCCGAATTCGGAACAAGCACTATCTGCTGTACCAACTGCACCGATACCAACTGCACCACCACCAATTTCGCCACCATCTGTGAAGGAAGAAGAACCCGAAGAACCGGAAGAACCAGATCCTGAGGAGAATCCCGATATGAACATCGATGTGTTAAAGCACACTCGAGTCATTGACCGTGGCGAGCAATTTGACTTGAAGAGTCCTGTTGAAAAAGCACGGAAAAGCAATCGTTCAACCATTTCGAAGAAATCTAGAAGTTCTAAAGGGCGTCAGCTATAAATTAAAATCAAATAGCACACACCAAGTAATTCAAGTTACGCAAGCCGTTGTCCGCTTTGGTTAAGGTTGAAATGCTATAGCCACCAATGACATAAAAAAATATTAATATTTTCAAGAATTTATAAATAAAATATGGGGACAGAAAATAGTTATGGGTGACATATAACATAAATGCTTGTTCAGAGCCTACTAGTTTAAAATCATTTGCTAATAAAATTGCCAAGGCTTAAGTGTGTTATTTTAATCTTCAAGTCAAGCGAACGCTTAACAGCCAACGCTTCCAAACTAATTTAGACACCAAATAACCGTAATCGCCTCTGATCTCAAATGACTCCATCTAAGGGCTTTTTGCCCAGCACAGCTTAAAAAATATAGTTTTCTCAACCCAAAGACCGCACAATTATTTGGGCCATAAAGGACCCAACCCACACAAACGGACACATGAGAGGATAGAGGACATTCAAAGGGATAACTAAGTGTGCAACTACGATAATGACGCCTCGGGTTGCGAGGGCAAAAAGAGGAAGTGAGAGAGAATGGCAATAAAAAGGGTATTTCAATTTTTTTCAAAGCTCCTCACTATCGGATGGGTCTGCAAGAGGAAGCTCATGCTTGTGTGAGAGATTTTACTATAGCTTCCATAATTCTATCAATAGTGAATTTATATATTATATAAAACTTATTTTAAAATCTGCTACAAATAACATGAGAAGTCATCGAAGTCAATGTTTTTTAATCCTAACACAAATAGTCAGTCACTTAAGTCAATCAATTTGTCTGATTGATTTCAATATTTTTTAAGCAAATTCAAATTTCCAAGTGCCATTGAAATTTATATATAATTTTACATTAACCAGTTTATTTTGCGTACTGCTACCCTATCTGTATAACCAACATCTCATAACAATTATTTCATTTATTTTTAATTATTCGCTGTTTTGCGCAGAAAAATAGAAGAATGCAAGAATTAAACATATTCAAGCCAACATAGTTTGCGGTTCTGCGAATGTGACTTTTTCTTCTTTTAAATATTTTAATTACAAAAATATATGCTCATTCGTATTTTTATTTTAATTTTTGTCGGCTTTGATTGTGATGTCATTTGGTTACTTATTTTTTAATTTGCATCGTATCGTTTATCGTATTTTTGCCAAATGGTCGAATTCTAGTTGGAAAAATCTGTATTTAGACCATATTAGCTGACCCAAATATTTCTTTCTTTTTTAAATACCAAAAGACACCATTTTACAAAATCTTCGAGTTGAAATTCCATTATTTTCCAATTTAAATACCAGCATGAATTTGATTCGCCCTTGAAGTATTCAATCCCCAATCTTATAAATGCTATACAGTCGCAGCTGAGACTTTGTCGGGTTCTGCTAATTTAACGTTCCTTTCGGCCATAAAATGGAAATAAATATCATGCCATACGATCTCCACCAAAAATCGCAGTTCAGCTAATGAAGACTTTGTTGTCTGAGAAGGATAAAGCTGAAATTGTCTAGACGTTCTCGGTTGCTTGAACCGCCGGCCTGTGTTTGCAGTCCCAGCTGCTGTTGGCGTCTCAAGTTCAAAGACAGGGCGAAGAGATTTCAATCCCTACTTTAGTACATTGTGGGTTCTTTTATGACATTTAATTGCCATTTGCTTTTAGTCAGCACACACACACTTCCCCGATTGCAATGTTTTTTTAAGGGTAAAAAGGTTAGTTCATTTTAAAGGATAACTGAAATCTTGTTGACCTTCACCGATTTAATTTTTTTGTTTTAGTATTTTAAATGACTTTAATTCTTAAATAAGAATTCATTAGGGAACATATGAAAGTAAACAATTTTTTACTTACAATTTAAATAATTTAATAATTTTTAAAGCCCATCGGCAAATTAAATATAATTCATTAAAGAGTACCCCGATGTTCTGGCTTTATCATTTAGTATAAAAATTTGCCATATTTTTTTGTCGGGCCACAAAGTGACACGTCATGCCGACGAATCAAGTCGAGTGGTTTGCAAGTGCCTGGTTCTAATCATCATGCAAACATTGTGGCCAGTCATCGTGACTTATGTCAACTCGATCAAGTGTGTCCTTGTTTAAGCTCTCGTGTGTGTATGCTTTTCAGTTACCAGGATACAAAGGAATTGTCCGTTGAATTCGGCGGTATTTCAAGAGCCTTAGAGTTAATGTCCACCGAGGGAAGTGTGCTGCAATCACTGGCGATTGTTTATTGGTAATCAAGCGGGTAATGAGTTCCAATTTGCTTCTCCATTCAAAGTGGCTAGTTATGCTTTAAGTTACTTGGTTTTCGATTTAATTTAAATTTTAACTAGTATACAGGTAAGTCCGTCGTTTCAGAAAAGAGCCAAGAGTGATTCGCTATCCTTTTGGATAACAGTGCAGATATTTTAAAGTAATTAAATCATAAGCAGAAAAGCCAATCCACAAATGTCACCTTGATTGATTGATTGATTTACCCCATTTGTTTGCACTTATGGGACGGTTTACCCTCTTGACCAACCGCCATCGAGCGTGAAGCTGTCAAAACGTGGACTGTCGTTGGAAATCGGGAAAGGAGCGAACACTATCCATAAAATATGACTTTAAGCCGGGCGTCACGTGCCATGGGTGTTGACCCCAAAAGGAAACCGAAAATCATAACTCAATGTCGAGCTAACCAAGTGCAAAGCGCGAAATTAGTTTACACTTGAACCCTGGGCCACCTGTCCTGACCTGTCCGCCCACCGGCTGCTCACCCACCTGGTTTTTCCCTGGACTTTTCCCCGACACCCTCCACCCACTTTTTTCGGCCTCCTTTTTGCTGCAGTTGCAGTTGCAGTCACAGTCGCATTCGTGTTCATGCATAAACAAAATGGCTGCTGCAACAACCGGAAACTGACAGCAAACGACATTTGCGATATGCATCATATGTCTACCCGACTTTCCAACCACCTCGCCCCCGCTTTTCCGCTGTCACTTTCGTGGACGCGAGGATTGGTGGGGGAGTCAGCTACTTGGCATATTTCTGTCGTGTCATTGTTCCTTGTGCGTCCTTTTTTTGCAGCTGCTCCTGCCTCTGTTCCTATTTTCCAGAGAAAACCCCCATTTCCCAACTCCACCTCCGCGCTGTCTGCGACTGTTAGCCTTGCAGGTGCAATTATGACGGCGGGCATCGCATCGCTGTCTCTCGTGGAAAACTGGCAGTGGGCGGTGGTCCGGGTGGGGTGGAAAACATAAGAGACTGCGGGGTGCAGGCGAGTGTGTGTGGCAGTGTCAGCGACACATAAACATTACATCATCAGGCAACTTTTTGTAACTGTCATAAAATGCCAGAAAAAGCAAATAGAGGAGGCCTTTCACGGCTCATCTGTTAACTGCTTAAACACCATACAGTATTTAATATTAAATAAAAGTTATATTTTTATCTGCAAGAAATAATAAATAAGGCGAAATCTGCAAATTTATAAAGTGACTAGCAAAAATATAAAAATATAAACATAGTCTCCTTAACTTATACAAAATTGTATGAAGTACCTTACTAATTATTTCAAGTATTGGAGGGCTTTTACTTCTAAATTTATAAATAAACTATATTTAAGTAATTTAGAAAATGTTTTTGCAAAGCCTAAACTTTTTTAAAGAGTATTTTATAGTGGGCTTTTGAAAATAGAAAAAAAAACTGAACAAATGAATGTTGAATGAAACTGTAACAACAGCAAGAAGTGCGGGACATTTGTATATCGTGAGTCAGTTATGGCAACAGTGATCAGTCTTAGATTGGCAACTTTTGTAACATAGTTTGTATTTAATTACATTTTATAGCTCAGTTATTTTGTTTATTAATTGGTCCTTAAGCACAAAAGATTTTAGCTGTAAGGATTTAGAAACCCATTGAATGTGATTTTGTTAATAATCCTTTACTATAAACGACTTGAAGTAGAAAGTATGCTAGCTCCGTGATCACTGTACCATCAAAGCTTGTGGCATTGTTGTTCCAATTTCTGTAGCTTCTTTTGACGCTTCCACTGCCGCTGTTGCTGCATTTCCGGTTGCTGCTCCTGCTAAGCCGGCGCAGTAAATCCTCAAACATCCTACCAGCCCAGGACCCCTTTCCGACTCCTCCCATGTCATGGCTCTAATGAGCTGTGTGTGTGTGCTGCATTGTTGTTGACGTTTCAGCTGGCATATGATGCTTGTTAGTGAGTTTTTCTCTTCGCTGTTTTGCCTGTTCTTTAGCAGGATGCCCCTTTCCGTGTGTGTGATCCTCCGGTCTGGGTTGAAATATTTTCATGAGTTTTGACAGTAATGTGTCGCAATGTTTGTCCCACTGTCTTTTTGCTCGCTCGCATCAAGCTAACAGCAGCGCCATCTAGCGACGGAATGTCCGGAAAGAGCAGAATTTATCTGGCTAGAAAGAGAATGATAAAAGGGTGCTTCCGTTTCCGTTTTCGTTTTTTCATTTTAATGTTAAATATGGAGAGTCAAGAATATTAACCAATCTTATTCACGACGTATTTTATTAATTCATGGAAAGGTCAATATTTAAGAGAAGAGGAGGAAAAAATCGATACCATAACATTACATTAAATCGAAACCGTAGAAATCGGGGGAAAATGGGAACACTCTTTACAGCGGCTACAAAATGAAAGCGTAGATAGGGACATTAGTGGAGCAGCGAGGAGACAGGGACATGTTGGAATCCCGCTGCTCGTCGCGAGTGTTTAAGCGTTGATTACACTTTCGTGTTTTGGCGTTGCTTGTCACTTGTCTCTTGTTCCTGTACAAGTTACTCCGCTCCATTGTTTTTCCGGCTGTTGTTGCTCTAGTTGGTAGTTGTTCATTTGCCACATCTGTCTGCATTTGCATGTTGGTTGTGCACAACGAGACTGTTGACTCCTTCGTCCTCCAGCTGCCTTTTTATTCCATATGCAGCCGGAAGTTGGTACATGTGTACGCCTGCATGTTTTATGGGCATATAAGGATTTGGTTGTGGAGGTAAATAAATAACCGGGGACATTGATCTTTTATGGGTTTAATAAATATGCTACGATTATTGGCAAATTTAGTGCAAAAGTCGTTCATGGTTATGATACAGGCTTTAATGCTATAATTGTTAAGTTCTGTAAATTCTTGATAAAACAAATATTTAAATACTGCAATATTTACAGCAGTAAAATAATAACTCCGTGGCTGTTTAAAGGGATGCGATAAATACTTCAGCGATACATGAATATTT